TAAATAACTAAATATTTTATTATTAATTTATAATTAATATATTGTATAAAGGTATTTTAATAGCATTAATAAAGAAAAAATTATCTAATGGAAACATTTAAAAAGCACGCAAAAGAAATTGGTTTAGAAAGTAAATTAGAAAAAGAGTATATAGTTTAAAGAAAATTAACTATAAATTAATTAATAATGCAAAGTATTATATATATATATAAATATATATATATATATATATATATATATATATATATATTTATTTATTTTTAAAAATAAATATATTAGCTAAAGTAACTATAGGACCTGCTAATGATTCTTAATAAAAAATAGAAAATTTAGAAACAAAAATAAATAATAATGATAATTCTAAATAAGATATTAATTACATTCAACTATAAAAACAATGTAGCGAATGAAAATATTTATATATAGAAAAATAAATAATTATATATTTTAAAATATATATATATATATATATTTATATATATATATAATTTATTTTTTAAATAAATATTGCTTTAATAATAATGTTAATAATTTTCATTAATATATTATCAATAATCTATTGTATAAAAATTGCAATAATAGACACTATATTATCCTAAGATTTCATAAACAAAAACCCTAATATATAAATAATTTAATTTTCTGTAAAAAAGATTAAAAACCATTAAAATCATGGTCAATAAATAATATAGAAAATTCTCTAAATAAATAAAAATGTAGATATAATATACTTTGAGATATAAAACACTCTCGAAATAATATAATCCTTAGATTTTATATACTAAAAATTACAATAAAGCCCACAAGAAATACAAATAGTAAATTTTTCATTAGGATCATCATCAAGTTCTTAATAAAATGAATAAATTTCATAAAAAATCTTCCATTTAATTTCCGAATTTTAAATATTATTTTTCTCAGCAATAGGAAATTCCGGTCCTTTTTTTTCTTCCGTGAATTTCCCTTCATCTCTCCCTTTTGTTTTTTCTATAGGAAACATATAACCATATATTTCTAAAGGCCCTTCAATTTATTAAGACTAATTTTATATACTAAAACCTAATTATATAATAAAAAATAGTTAATCGAGTTCATTTAGTTGTGCTTTTTTTTCTTCTTTTACTTCTTTATTTTACCCCAAGGATTTCTTTTAAAAAAATACGTAAATTATATCATAATTTGTTTATTTTTTAAACGAAAAAAAAGCCTTTTTATTTAAAGATTATTCCCTTTTCGAATAGGGTTATGGTTTAATTAATATAAATGAAAATTTTTAAGACAATTTTATAATATAATAAAGCATTTATATATACCCTTTATTTTTAGATTTAAACGAGAAATATTTCTTTCCATTTTCTTTATTTAAATTCTATCCAAAAATGATTCAATATTTCTAGTTTACTTTGAACTTATATATTCTAATAACTCATAGTAATATTTAAATAATAAATATAGTTTAAAAAAAAGAATGTTCCCTTAAAATTAATATTTAATTAAAAGAAATCATAAAAAACGTTCATTATTTCTTAATTTTAAAAGCAATTTATAATTAATAAAAAGGTTTTGAGTCTTTTTGTATTTTTGATCTTTTTTTCCTTTTAAAAAATTAATATACTTAGGAACAAATACATATATCAAAATAACAATTTATACTGAAAATATAAAATAAGTAAATAGAACCTAAAATCATTATATTCTATACTTCTTTTTATTAAAAACAACATGAAAAAGGCTTTCTTTTGGGAAATTATATATATTTATATGAAAATATACAATAAAACCAAGACATAGATATAGTCGAAGTATAATATTAAATAGAAAAAATAAATAAAAAGTTTGAGAAAAACAAATAGAATATTAATAAAGGAACTTTTTTTGTTTATTAATAAAAAAATATTGAAAATAAAGAAATTCAAATTTTGTTCTTAAAATTTAATTTAGTTTATATTTTTATAGGAGATTTTGGACATATATATGATTGTTTTTTTTCTTTGAATTAATTTTTTTCCTAATATCATTTATAAGTTGAAATAGAAAAAAATTCTTAATAAAAAAGTTCTTTTTATTATTTTATAATTCAGGATTCTTATTATTTTTAAAAATAAATAAATATATTAAAATTGTGGAAAAACGAACAAAATTTTATATAATTTTTAAAATTAAAAAACGAAGAAAATAATTAAATCTTATATTTTTTTGCATCATCATAATGCATATAAAATAAATTATTTTATTCATAGTTTTGTGTTTTTTATAATAGCTTTTTAGAACTATTTTGAAAAAAAAAATTCTAGAAAATATATATAATATTATATATATATATATTATATATATTATATATATTTATATTTATATTAATATTTATATAAATATTTTTATTTTTTATTTATTTTTATAATTATTTTTTATTTATTTTTCCATTTTTCATTTTTTTTATTAAAAAGAATTTTCTTTTTATAAAGATATATTTTTTTCTCCTCCTTTAGTAATATTTTTTATATAATATTATTATTACACTTGAATATACCATAATTTATATTTTCTAAAAAATATATATAATATTATACTACAATTTTTGTTAACTTAATGAAAATTTAGAGTTTTTTATTTTCTTATTAGTTTCTTTTTTTTTTTTTAACAAACTTCACTAATCTAATTTTTTTATTTATATAAATATTTATTATTACATCATATTAATTTGAATTTCTTCTCATATTCAACATTTATTAAAATAATGGCTATATTATCAGATTATAATTCTAATTATTTAATATTTTTATTTTTTTATATGCTCCATTTTATTTCTATTTAACACAAAAAACTATAATTGTTTGATTTTCTAAACAATTTCTATAAATTTATTTCAAGAAATTAGGAAACATTTTAAGGTTTTTCATATTAAGTTACAATATAATTTAAATTCAGAACCGAATCTTTCAATGAATATATATATTGTATAAATTTAAAATGTTTTCAAGGAAAATTTTCTATATATCAATTAAATAAATCAAATATATCAGAATTTGTGTATATTATTGATTATTATTATTTATTTAATAAAATTATTGATTAATCAATTTTCATTATTAGTATATTTTGGATTTTTAGTTTGTATTGTAATTCAATTAAATAGGTCTAATTTTTAGAATTATTTTTACCTCTATTTCCTCATCTTCAGGTACCTAGGAGTTTGCTTTAGATATGTTAATAGCTTGATTTATAAATTATCTTCTTTTATATCAATGTCCTTAGTATAGTTTTAATCTGAGAAGTCTCTGGGACTCAAGACTAGGTTGGTAAGTCTTCGAGATGATAATTATTGGAAAATTTCGAAGTTTTTTATAGATTTCGGTTCTTGTTTTCCATATATTCATTTAAATTTTATTAAATTAGTATTTTTTTGAGTTTTTTTTATTTTGGCTTATGAAATAATTATTATTATTGCCACAAAATTGTGGAGAATTTAAATAGTTTTTTTTTTTTTTTAGTTTTAAAAGAAGACTATAATTTTTTGAATTAATTTTCATTTTTTTATATTTTCATTAATTTTTTTGTTTAATATATTCTCAAATAGTAGTTTATGGTATTATATATAAAAAATTGGAAATATTTTTAAGCTTTTTTTTTTTTAAAAATAAAAGGAATTATAATATAAACGAAAAAAATATATATATACAAATTACTCAAAACATTTTATTTTAAGAAGTTTTTGTTAACTTATTTATTAATTTAGAATAGAAAAAACAGTAAATAAATATATATAAAAAGTCCGTTTCTGATAAAAATTTAAAAATACGGAATTCTATAAAGGCGATTATACATAATATTTTTAATATTTAGGAAATTATATAGATTATTTTTTTGTATTTATTAACGCATATGTTCAATATTAGTATAAATAAGTGTAAGAAAATCAACGGGAATTTATAAAAAAAACCAATATGGGATTATAATGTTTGTTAATTTAAAAATATTATAAATAATTTGAATGTTATAACTAATATTAGGGAAAAATAAGTTATTATTTCATCCTTTATTTAAAATAAGTGTTATCTTTTTAATTATTTTTTATTTTTTTATTTTATATAATATAGAAATTATTTTAAAGTATAGATTCGGTTTTCATGGAATTATTATCAGAATTTATATTTTAGGAATTAGTTTTTATTTTTCTATTTAGAAGATTATAATGTAAAAATATAATATTTAATATTCATAAAATATGATATTTAAGGTTATTTTTCAAGTGTTTATATTTCTTTTTTATTATTTTTAAATGATTTATTTAATGATGAAAATCTATAAATGTTAAATTTTCTATAATTTATTTTTAAATATTAATAAAAAAAAATTAATTAACTTAAAATATTATGGATTTAAAAAAAACAAAATAAAATATTATTAAGAAGATTTTAATATTTATAAAAATACATTTTTTATTTTGATATAGATATTTATTTCAATATGCTAATAAAATTTATCTTTAATTAAATCAAATATTAATATTTATTTTTAAAAATAAATTAATATTATTATTTATTTTAAAATAAATTAATATTATTAAAATAGAAAATATATATATATATATATATATTATATTATTTATTATATATAAAACTTATATTTATTATTTTCTTTTTATATTATAAATTTTCTTATTTGTTACATAATATTTACTAATTTATTCGTATTTATTTTAATGTTATTTATTTATATTTATTTTTTATTTAATATGTTTATTATAAATAAAATATAATCTATATAAAAATAATATTTTAAATTATAAATAGTTATTTTTTATTAAATTATAATAATTTCTTCATTTATTAAATGATTATACATTACATATTATTTCTCGTAATTTTATATATATAAATTAAAATTATGATAATAAAATATTTCATGATAATTTAAATAGATAAAATAAAAATTATATAATATAATTTTATTTTATAAGTAAAAAATAATAAATAATATTTTTATAAATAAAAAATTTTTAAAAATATATAAAATGAAATTTTTAATAAATCTTAACAATATATTTTTAATAATAGCGTTACTTTCCTAAGCTATATTAGGAGTTTATAATAATCATATATGTAATCATGATACAGAATTTAATTTCTCAGAAGTTAATCATCAAACAGAATAAGCTAGAAGAATTTTAAAAGAAGAAGTTCTATAAAACCCAGAAACGAAAAATTTGCAGATTGATTTGCTTTAGTAACCATAACCTATAAGAATTACTATGGATTATAGTTTATTTAACATAGTGAATGATAAGATAACTCAATATTAAAAAGATTAATTAAAAGGATTATTATAATAGGTTTAGGATTATTTGTAAAAACTATTAAAAGTAATTCCTGCTTAAAAGACTATTGTATACAATACTATAAAATGTAATAATATAAACATTCCTAAAAAATATAGAAGAGATGGTGAGAATAATTCTGATCTCGTTATTTGGGTTTCCTATTATAATGGTCCATTATCTTTTTCTTTAGCTAATGCTATTCATTGTTTAATAGATCCTAATTTAAAAAGAGTTACTTATGGTATGATTAATATAAATTTATCAAAGTTAGATTTAGATCATACTTAATCTGTATTCAAAAGTGATTTTAATAATATATTGCATGAATTTTTGCATATTCTAGGATTTTCAAGAGGCTTATATAGATATTGGATAAATCCTTTAACCCAAAATTTTTATGATGATGAAATAAATAATTATGTAAGAACAGTTTCTATAAGGGGAAAATAAACTGTTATCATATCTACTCCAAATATACTTGCTACTGCTAGAAAATATTTTGGATGCCCTACTTTATAAGGAATGTAATTAGAGAACGATGGCGATATTAATTCTGATAGTTCTCATTGGGAAAAAACAATCCTCTTTGATGAATTAATGACTGCCGACTCTTCTGATAGGAAATCTTTATTGTCTATTTTTACTATTGCTTTATTAAAAGATACTGGCTATTATGCTGAAATAGATGAAAGTATGATTAATAATATATAATGGGGAAAAAATAAGGGATGTGATTTTGTTCTTAGAGCTTGCTAATCTGATACTTATTATCATGAGTTTATAAAAATAGAATATACACCTGAATAATGCTCTTCAAATAATGAAGGTTATGGGGAAATTGTTGAAAATAGGTTCATGGATAATTGCAAAAAAATTAACAATTCAGTTTTTTGCGAAGATTATTCAAAGAAAACAATTTATGATGAGTATAAATTGGAATATTATGGGGCTAATTCTAGATGCTTTCAATCTACTGCTAATGTTGGATAAGGTGTTACTTACAATAAAAATGTTCGTTGTCATCGCGTTATATGTTCTCCTGATTTTACTTAGATTACTATAGATTTTCCTAACAATAAATTTTAAAAATTAGTCTGTAAAAAATAAGATGAAGGAAAAAAAATTTAAGTCATTAAAGGGTAACCAGAATTTGGTTACATTACTTGTCCTGATAATTTAAGAGAATTTTGCAGTTATACTCCTGAATGCCCTAAATATTGTTCTCGAAAGGGTATTTGTATAAATGGATAATGTAAATGCCATTTTGGATGGACGGGATTTGATTGTGATAGTGAATAAAGATGGTGCAATGATTTTTTTTTATATGATGGTTTTTAAAAATGCGTTTAATAATGTCCTTAAGATAAATTTGCAAATCCTGACAAAGTATGTAGAGAATCATGTCCTAATGGTTACTACTAAGATAATGAAAATAAAATATGTTTATAATGCGATATATCGTGTATAAAATGTTCTGGTCCTACAATGAATGATTGTTTAGAATGCGGTTTTTTGACATATTTAGAAGAAGGAAAATGTGTAAAATAATGTAGTAATAACTTCTAATTAATAGATTAAAAAACATGCGAAAAATCAGTCAGTTAAGGATGTGAGTAAGAATGTGAGAAATGTAATTCTGATGCTCATGAAGAATGTACTAAATGTAAAGAATAGTTCTTCCTTAATTTAAAAACTAGTAAATGTGTTCTTGCAAATTAATGCCCAGAAGGAACATTCGCTAATGTAGAAAATAAAACATGTTAAACTTGTTAAATTATAGGATGTAAATAATGTTAATCCTAAACTGCATGTGCAGTGTGTGATGAATATTCATAATATTTTAAAAAGGGTGATTAATGTGCTAAATGTCCTTAATAATGTTAATAATGCTCAAGTGATTTAAAAACTTGTCTTTCTTGTAAAAATGAATTATTCTTATAAGATGGAAAATGTGTTTTTTAATGTTCTAACAATTAGTATTAGGATATTGAAAAAAATTAATGTTTTCCATTGACTAAATGTACATAAGAGACTTTTTACTTTTATAAAAATAAATGTTATAAAACTTGTCCTAATGCTACAGTATAAGAAGTATAAAGCAATATATGTAAATAATGCCCAAAAGGTTGTCTTATGTGTTATACAGAAAATAGATGTGAAATATGTGACACTAAGAATGGTTGGGAGTTTGATGCTGGTACTCGTCATTGTTTTAATAATTAATGCGAAGCTTCGTAATGTCTAAAATGTTATGCTAATAATAAAAATCAATGCCTATAATGTAATTAAGGATATTTATTGTATAAAAGGATGTGTATAAAATATTGTCCTGATACATATTATCCTGATTATAATAAAAATGTATGTATTAAATGTAGAAAAGGATGTTAAAGTTGTTCTTCTTAACAATGTTATGACTGTGATAATATAAATGGATTTTATTATTCAAATGGAAAATGCAATGTAAATAAAGATGGTACTACAAATAGTGATGGTGATATAATAGATAATATTACAGAAGATGGAGATAGCGATACAAATAATGGCATTAGTTAAACTTAAAAAGAAATTAATAAAAACAATGGAAATATTAATAGTTATAGTTGCTAAGCTTTATTTTTAATTATTACTTCTTTATGGCTATGAGTATATAAAATAATTTTATAATAAAATATTAATTATAGTTAAATAATTATAATAATTTCAAAAAAATATATATATTATTTTTAAAAATAAATATTGATTAATTAAAAAGTGTTTTATAATAAATCATTAAAATTTAAAATTTGATATAAAAATATATATTATAAATAATTTTCTTAATAAATGAAATATAAAAATAAATTAAAAATTAAATAAAAAAACAACAATTATAAAACTATTACATTTTAAAATTAAATGATATTTTATATTTTTGTAGATATTTTTTTTATTTGTTATTTTTTTTATTACATTATATTTGAAATTACAATGATTTTACTCTAAAACTTTTATATACAAAAACTCTATTTAATATAAATTTTTATAAAATTTACTTTTAAAAATATAAAACATAATAATTTATGCTATGTTGTTATTTTTAGTCAAGAAATATTATATATTTATTTGTAATTGTTTGCAATATATTTAAAAAAAATATAAAAGAAATGTATAACTAAAGGCATTATTTGATATATTATTAATAATTATGTTATAAGTCATAAATATTATATGTAAGTTTTTACATAATTTTTTATCTTTTTAATATTTGTTTAAATTAAGATTAAAAAAAATATAAAAAATATAAAATTAAATACAAAAGTATAATAATTATTAATATTTATTGGTAAACTTTATTAGTTTTATATTTTAAATTATTTGAAAAATATTAAAAAAAAAAAATTATAAATATATATAATATATGAAACTATAATATAAAATAAAATGAAATTTATAATTAATATCTAATAAAAAACATACATATAATAATCAAAATTATTTAATATTTCTGTTTTAAAGTATATATAAAAAAAATATAATTTATATAAATATATTATAAAAAAAAAATTAAATTTGAATTAATAAAAAAAAACTATTAAATAATTGTAAAATATATATGTTTAGATTTATATATATAAATCATATATATAAAAAAATTAAAATATATATAAATATAATATATATATGTATATTTATTATTTCTAATTTTTTTTCAATTTAAATATTTATTACTTATATTTTATTATTAATAGACTTTACCTTTTTTATTTTCATAAAGCTTTATTAAAGTTATTTTATTTAGTTTAATAAAAATACAAAACAAAATATATTTATTTAAAATAGTTAATGTAATCTATTAATCTATTTATAAAAACATGCAAAATTTTTTATAACATTAAATTTTACAATTTATAATTTAAAATTATTTTTAAATATTTTTTTAAATTAGGTCATATTTACAAAAGTTAAATTTATATATAAATTAATTTTGATTTAGAAAAGGCTTTATTTAAATATTTTTATAATAAAAATTTATAAAATTTTAGAAATTAAAATATAAAAATATATATATTTTTATTTTAAATTCTTGTTTTTTAATAGAAAAAGCCAATATTTATTTTATTTTAATTTTTAATAAAATAAATTTTAATTATAATATAAAAATTTTCATTTTTCAACAATAATTTTAATATAATAAAAATATAAAAATTAAAAAAATAATTATATTTTATGATATTAAAGATATAAATTTGGTTAACAATTAATATATAAAAAATACTAATTAAAGAATGTTAGAAAAAAAAAAAATAGAAATTAAATAAAGTAAATAATAAAATAATGATAATTTTTATAAAAAAAATATAATTTAAAAATAAAAATATATTTATTTAAAATTATTAAAAAAATAAAAATTCTAAAATAATATTTATAAAAAAAAAGTATATATATATAAAAAATTTTAATTTATTACAAAATATATATTATAAGATATTAAAAATAAATAAATACAATATATTAATATTTATATAAAAAAATTATATATTAATTATAATTAAAATAAAAATAATTAAAAAAAATATTTTTTTAAATAATATTAATAATATAAAAAATAAAAAAAATTAAATATATAAATAATATATTTAATATAAATAATAAAAATTTTATAAATTTAAAATATAATATATATATTTTTATAAATTATAAAATAAATTTTTTTAAAATATATACGACTGACTAAAAAAAAATTAATTTATATATTCTTTTAAAAGAATAAAAATAAACATTTATACTTATATAAATATATATTCATATATTTTTTTTTTTTTTCTTTATCAAAATATAAAATTTTAATAATTCGTCGTTTAATTTAAATTTATTCTTCAAAAATACATATGAAATTATTTTAATATTATTAAAAAAATAAAGTATATATTAATATAATATTATTTCTTAAAATATATTTAAATTTTTTTTTTTTTTTATATTAGTATAAAATTGTATAAAAAATACTAATTTTTTTATAAAAATTTTTAAATAACTTTAACTTTAAAAAAAAATTATTTTATGAAAGAATTAAATATAATAAAAAAAATTAAAATCAAATAAAAATATATTTAAATATATATATATATAAAAAACATATATATATATTTATATTTATATATATATTTTTTTTTTATAAATAAATAATATATATTTGAATTTAATTTTATAGTAATTATAATAATTTTATATATAAAATACAATATAAAAATAATATATATATATATATATATTAATTTATATTAATACCAAAATAATTATTTTAATTTACTATATCTAAATAAAATTATATGTTTAATTTAATTAATATAATATTATATCTGTTTATATATTATATGCTTTATTCATATTTTTTATTTTTTTTTTATTTTTTTAAATAGATTTATTTATTTATTTATTTATTGTAATATAAAATTTATAATCTATAATATAATATTATGGACATATTTTGTTTTATTATTTTTTATTTTATTAAATTCCTGATTTTATTTTTTTCCAGAAAAATGTATTATAAGTATTATTATTATTATAATATTTACTATTATTACTATTATTATTAATATTATTATTTTTATTATTATTAATAATTAATATATAATAAAATAAATTTAGAAATTAAAGAAACAAATTATAAAAATATATTAAATATTAATTAAAAAAAATAAATGAAAAAACTTTCAATTTATATTCTCCCAATTCAAGATAGAGTTATATACCCATATTAATAAATATACATAAGAATTCCTGAAATTTATTAATACGAACGTAAAAATATAAATATAAAAAATATATAATAAAAAAATAGCTAAAAAATTCAATAATTTAATTGGTGTTTTAAGTAGTTTCGATCCCTAATAATCTTAAAAAAAACTTGAATCAATAGAAAATTTTTCTAAATATGGTACAATACTAAAAATAACTTCTGAAGACTAACAATATTACATAAATACCCAAACAAGAAATCATAGAGAAGTTAAAACTTATAGTGCATTCGCCTTCGGAAGATTTAAAGTAATATCATTTGAAAAATAAACGCCTTTTTATATAGCTACAATAGAATTAATATCTGACGAAATTCTATCTAAATTAGAATAAAAATTAAAATCTTATGAAATACCAGAATTAAAAAAACAAGCTAAAAAATATTTAGAAAACATATCAAATAAAATAGATACATAAAAACAAATGTAAATAGAAAATGAGTAATCAATTAATAAATTAGGTAATATATATAAATATATATATTTTATTATATTAAAATATCAAACATAGTTTATACAATTGCTAGTTTATTAGAAATAAGTACTGAAACTAAACTTTAAATCTTATAAGCGGACGATATAAATGAGCGAATCAAACTAATTTTAAATATAATGTAAGAAAAAAACGGTGAATTTTCTATTACAGGTGAGCTTTAATAAAAAGTAAAATCCGAATTAGAAAAAGATAATAAAAAATTTTTAATAACTCATAAAAATTCTGGTATATTTCCTTCTAATCTATTCCCTTCAAATAGCAATTTAAACTCTAGTTTTCATTAAGACGAATCTTCAAACGAAACCGATGAAATTTCATAATTAAACCAAAAAATTAAACAAAAAAACCTTCCTGAAAACATCCTTTAAACAATCTAAAAAGAATTCAAAAAACTAAAACAAATGCGCAATTCTTAAAACGCGGAATCCTACGTAATCCGTACCTATATAGAAACATTACTAGACCTACCCTGGCTTGAACATACAGGAGATTAACAAGATCTAAAGCAAGCCGAAACTATATTAAATAATGACCATTCAGGTTTAGAGAAAGTAAAGAAAAGAATCCTTGAATTCCTTGCAGTCCGCTTCCTAAAAGGAAACTAAAGAGGTTCCATTATATGCTTATGCGGTCCTCCAGGTGTAGGCAAAACTTCCTTAGGAAAATCCATTGCAGACTCCCTAGGTAGAAAATTCGAAAGAATAGCCCTAGGAGGGGTTCGTGATGAATCTGAAATACGAGGTCATAGAAGGACATACGTAGGAGCGCTTCCAGGGATGATAATAAATGCTATAAAGAGATCAGGTAGTAATAATCCTGTAATTTTACTAGATGAAATCGATAAATTAACTCGGGATTCAAGAGGTGACCCTTCTTCAGCTTTATTAGAGGTTTTAGACCCGAATTAAAACTCGAATTTTGTTGATCATTATATAGGACTTCCTTTTGATTTATCTAATGTAATGTTTATTGCGACTGCAAATTAATTAGATAGTATTTAGCCGCCGCTATTAGATAGAATGGAGATTATATAGATTCCGGGATATACTTAAGAGGAAAAGAAAGAAATCGCCAAAAAATATTTGGTGAAGAAATAAATAGATGAGAATGGAATTTCTTAAGAATAAATTGCCTTCGAAGATGACGCAATTGAATTCATTATTAAAAAATACACTCGAGAAGCCGGAGTTAGACACTTGGAGATAAATGTAGGCGCGGTTTGTAGAAGTGTAGCAGTTTAATATTCAATTCATAAACAAAAATTCAATAATTAAGATGAAATACCTAAACTTCCTAAAGTCACAATCACTTAAGATTATGTTAGAAATGTTTTAGGAGTAGAAATTTATCAAGAAGATGATCTAGTAGATAAAATTTTTTAACCTGGAATTGCTTTTGGAATGGCCTGGACTGCTGCAGGTGGTAAATTGCTTATTATAGAAGTTTCGAAAAGTGTAGGAAAAGGTAAATATATATTTTAAAATATATTTATTTATTTATTTAGGAAGAATTGAAATAACAGGATAATTGGGTGATGTTATGAAAGAATCAGTAAAAACAGCTTTAGGATGGATAAAATCTAATTTAGGGAAAATATAAAATCTTTTAATTAATTAAAATGATTTTTAAAATTAAAATATATTCGAAGAAATAGATATTCATGTTCATTTTCCAGCTGCAGCTATTCCTAAAGATGGACCTTCGGCAGGAATTACAATTGCGACGGCTTTAGTAAATAAAATTATATAAAAATAAATATATTGATAATAATTATACTATTTTTTTAATAAATATAAATTGTATATATATATTTATAAAGTATTATTTATATTTAATATTTTTTTTTTATAGATTTCTTTATTAACAGGAAGAAAAGTTAAATCTAGTGTTAGTATGACAGGCGAAATTTCGTTAAAAGGAAGAGTTTTACCTGTTGGAGGAATTAAAGAAAAATGTATAGCTGCATATTCATATGGAATTAAAACGTATTTTTTGTTAAATTGATTTTTTTTATTTTTTTGATTTTTTATAGAATTATACTTCCTTATAATAATTAAAAAGATACAGAAGAGATTTCTGCCGAAATAAAATAAAATATTGAGTATTTTTATTTAAATTTATTTTTAAAATATTATTTAAATTAGATTTAAATTTACAAAAACTATTGAAGAAGTATTAGATATAGCATTAGAAGATTAAAGTTAAACAGATTTATTTAACTAAGCTAAAAATTAAGTAGAAAACATAAATAAATTAAGCAAATTATGATTTGAGATTTAATTGAATAAATGTAATAAAAAAAATACAAACTATACATAAAATACCAAATAAAATTATATAATTAATATTATTTTTAATTATATATTATGTATATTTTGTATTATATTTATATAAATATATATTATAAAAAACAAATAAATAAAATAAATTATATTTATAAATAAATATAATGATATATAATAATAATTATTGTAATAAATATATTTAATAATATATTAAAGAAAAATGTTAACAAAATAAAGTAATATATTATATAATTATAAAAATTTAAAAATTAAAATAATGTTTATAATTATAAAATATTATAGATAAATATGATAAAGATTAAGATAAATATGTAATTATTTTATTAATACATTGAATTTAATTTTATATAATATATATAAATATATTTTTATATATATATATATAAATTTTTATATTATAATTATACAATTTTCAATTATCTTTTTTTATTTCTTTTTTATTTTCAATCATTAATTCTGCAATTTTATAGAATTCGTTTTTATCTAAAATAAAATTTTATAATTCTTATTCTTAATTAGTTTTATCTTTATATTTATCATATTAAATAGATTGCTTTTTTTTAAAAAAAAAAAAAAAATATTAAATATAATTTATTTATTTTTTTACTATTATTTTTTATTTAAATTCTTTATTTGGTATATTTTCTACAAGCAATGTACTTGTTAAAGCCGAAGGAATATTTTTTTTGATTGCTTTTTTTATTAATAATTCTATAATAAAAGATTCTAAATCAGCTTTATATTTTTATTTATTTATAGTTAAAAAAAATTAAAATAATATTAATTTACATAAATAATGTTCTAGAGTTACCTCATTTAATATTAATCCATTCTAATACTCAAATATTTTATTTTTATCTAATTTATTAAAAATACTTTAAGCAAATCTTGTAAGTATTTACTGTAAATATATATATATATATATATATATATATATATATATATATATATATTTTTTTTTACATATATTAATATATGCATATATTTTCATATTTTTTTTTTTATATTATTTAGTATATATTTTTACTTTTAAATAAGGTTATATTTCCTATAAAATAGATTAAAATTATTGTATAAGTTATTATTTTTCTTTTAACTTTCCTTCCAATTTTCTTCTGTTTTTCTCAGAATTTGGGGTTGATTAAAGAGTTCTTTATTTCTCTACATTTTCTTATTCTTAATTTTAAATTTTTTTATTAATTTCATTATTTTAATCTTGTATTAAATCAATTTATTAATTAAGTGCATCTAAATAAGTAATTCTTTTAAATAATATATATATATATATATATATATATATATATACATATAATTTATTTTAGTATTATTACAATGCAAAATTTTATTCTTCAGATTTTATAAAAGTATTTTGTATTTCCTATATATCAGTAGTTCCTGTAATTTCCTTTATTTAATTAAATGCAATATCTATAATTGTCATATTACTTATATAAGCATCTATAAGTTTGACCTTTTCTTTATTTCTCTATTTATATTTTATATATAATATATTTATAAAAAATCTATAAATACATAAATAAGTTTTTATAATCTTCTTTTTAATACACCCGCACTATCAAATTCTTCAATTAATGCTATTTATACAGAATTATTTATTATAGTTTTATTAAATTTCTCTTTTTATAATTTTGTTTAATTCATTTTTAACTTTTTTTTTTTTTAAGAAAAAATAAATAAAATAAAAAATCTACTTATAAAGTTTCAAATTCTTTTTAAAATTATGTTTTTTCTTTATCATTTTTTAATTTTAAATCATATATTTATTCCTATATAAATACTAAAATAAAAAAACTATTTATACAAACACATATATAAATATTTTTTAATTTAAATATAAAAAAAAGATTATATTAATATTATATATATATATATATGTATATATATTATACATGAATTTTTCGTTTTTTTTTCTATTTATTCGAAAATAGTATTTGACTCTTTTTATTAATTTTAAATTTAATTTTCAAAACCTTTAATTTAATCTAAAAAATTTAATCTTTATTTTCTTAAATTATTTATTTCATTTTTGACTAACTATATATTATCTATTAATGCATCTTATCTTTTTTAGTCCTTTTAATTAAAAAAAATAATAATAATTATATATATTTAAATAAAAAGTACATTTTCTATTGTTTTTTAAAGATTAAGTATATGGCTTTTATTTTTTTTAATTTTCATATTCTTTTTTTAATTATTTAACTTTTTCCTAAATATCATTATTTTCTTTTAATTAATTAAACAACAAATGATTTATACTAAATAAATGTCTTTTTATATAATATTAAAATAATAATAAATAAAAATATATATATATATATATATAAATATATATAAATATATATATATTTATTACTTTTTTTCTAATTCTAATTTTCTTGTGTATTAATCTATATCCTTTTACATTTATTAAATTTGATTTTCTCCATATGTATGCATAGTTTTATTTAAAATATTTTTATTTTCAGAACAAGAATATGATCTATTCGAATTTTAAGACATTTTTTTTGTTTGTTTTCAATATTAATAAATTTATAATTAATTTATTTATTTTTAGTTTTTTAAAAAAAATAATATAAATAAATGAAAATATATAAAAAAAATACAATTATATATATATAAATATGGGGGGGGAGAGGCGGGTAAATAATATTTTTTATGAACAATATTTAGTCTTAAGATGAACCTATTAAAAATCTTCAATTTTAAATATTCCAAAAACACTATTCGAAAATAAAATTACCTCCGAATTTCATTTTTTTTAACCAAAAATAAATAATTAAATTTAAATAATAAACGATAAAATAAATTAATCTATTATTATAAAAGAATCTATTCAAAAAAAAAAAAATTAATCTAAAAAAATCCTTTTAGAAACTAAATAAGAATAGTGAAATTATCGAATAGATATAAAATATGGAATTATTTATAATTTAAGTCTCTTAATATTAAAAAAAATAAAAAATTAAGACAATAATTAATAATAAATTAAAATTAAATATGGAGCAATTAGATAGAGGCTTAGAAAATAATATATAAAATAGTTAATAGTAAAGTTAATCGAAAATAATATAATATATAAATAATAAAAACTCTAGAATCCTTACCGATAAATTTAATAAGACTTTAAAATATTTAATGGACATATAAAATAAAGTTAATTAAAATATTAACTAGTTAATATTTTAAGTTAATAATAGTTAATTAAATTAAAAGAAAAAAAATATAAAATTAATCTTTTAAATTTTTTTTAACCTTTAATAAAATTTGCTTATATAATATTATCTTATATAACTATTATAAAATAAAATAAGAATATAATATAATAATAAAAACTAACGAATAAAATATTTTATTATCAATTATGTTTAAAATTTAAATTAACATTTTAAAAAATAAGATAATTACATTTTTCTTAATCAAATTAAAAAAAATGAATTTTATAACTTTTAATCCAATATCATCTATATAAATATATTCTTAAAAAAAAAAAAAAAAAAAAAAAAATTATTTGAAAAAAAAACAAAAAAAACCAAATAACAAAAAATATTATAAAAATTTAATTTCAAAAATTGATATAAAAAAAAAACAAAAAAAAATGAATTAAAAATTAAAAATTAATGAAAAATAAGCAATTAAAATTTTAAAAAACTTAAATGGATTTTCTAATGATTAAATATGTTTTTTTTGGACTATATTATATACTTATATAAGTTTATATAGACAATAAGATGAAAGTATAGTGTGTTAAGAAATAATATATATGTCGAAATTCGTTTGTTTAGTTTATATAACAATAAGTCTAATAAAATTTATTTAAAATTATTACTTTACTAATTTTGATAAATATATTTAATAAATACATAATTATTTATGCTTTTTTTAAATTATATTTACTTTAATTGCATCTTATAATGCTTTTAATATTGAGAGAAATCAATGTGGAGGAATAAATTCTTTAAATAGAATACATGGAATCATTCTAATTATTTATGAAACTTTAGGAATTTTGTATGCTATTTTAGTATATTTTGATTGTTTGTATGAAAAAGAAAAAATTTGAAAAATTATATTTAAATTATTATATATAATTTTTTTTTTTTTTTTGAATAATTTTTTTATAAATTATTATTCTTTTTTTTCATAAAATTTAATTTTATTTAAAAAAAAAAAGATTATCAAAACTAAAAATAATTTTAAAATATCCAAAAATAATAAATTATTAATTCATTTTAAAACAATTAATATATTCTATTTAAATAAAATATAAAAATATAAGAAAAAATTAAATTAAAAATATAACATTATAAAAATAAAAATAAAAAAAAAATATAAAAAAATATAAATTTATAAATATATATATATATATATATTTTTAATTTTATTTAATAATTTATTTATTGTATGTTTACATATTGTATTCTTTAAAATCGTAAACAACAATTTAATTTTATATTAAAAATTATATATATATAGATTTATTTTTATATATTTAAAAATATATATAAAAATATATGTAATAATATATATTTATTTATATATATTTATGCGTATATTAAAATATATATATGTATTATATAAACATATAATTTAATATATTTATATTTATTTTTTTAATACATATCTATTTATTTATATTTATTTAAATATAATATTATAAAAAGAATAAAATTATGACCAAAAAAACATAATAAAATTTATCCTAAAGATATAATAAAAATCATTAAATCCATAGCAACATTACTTATAATAATTCTCATAAATCATTTAAAAAGCATCTTAATCATAAAATTGGTACATTTGACGAAGCTCACGAATTCAATAAAGATAATAAGCATATAAAATATGGATATAGAATAAATTTTGATTCAAGTAAAAAAGTTCTTTAAAGCCTATTTATGGTTCATAATGAAAGCGTAAATATATGGACTCATCTTTTTGGCGCAATATTTATATTTTTTTTCTTATTTTATTTTATTTTTTCATTTAGTAATATAGATATATATACAATTAAAGAAAAACTGGTTTAATCTTTAAACGAGAAACTTTAACCAATATACTATGAAACAAACATAATTTTAGACAAAAAATTTGAGTATTTAAAGGAAGACCTATATAATAAAGAATTATAATTTTTATAAAAATACGAGGCTTTTAAATAAGAATTAAACATCTTAAAAGACAAAATAACATATAAAAATGTTGAAATTTTAGTATAAAAATACCAAGATTTTTCCTTTAATCATCATTTATAATTTTTAAAATTATATAAAGATTAAATAATGAAATAAATAGAATAAATAAGGAAAAAAATCATTGAAAAAATAGACTCGAATTAATTCGATTGGATTGATTTTCATTTAGAAGATTTTTCTATGCTAAAAAATAATTCAAATAAAAGCGAAATTTCCCGATGGCCAATTTTCGTATTTTTAATAAGTGCAATTTTATGCTTGAGTTTTTCAGCGATTTTTCATTTGTATTATGTTTTGAGTAAAAAAGCCTATAAAATATTATTAAGATTGGATTATGCGGGTGTTTCCTTATTGATTAGTGGTTCTTCTTTTCCAGTATTTTATTACGGATTTTTTTGTTAATAATAATATGCTTTTATGTATCTTTCGGCTATATGTGTGGCTAGTTTAGTTGTTTTTTTCGTCTCTATGTAAGAATTTATACATACTTAAGAGTATTTGACTATTAAAAGTATTATGTATGCTTCTTTGGGGATATTTTCAGCAGTTCCACTCCTTCATCTTCTATATTTGTAGTTTTTTGGAGGAGATATAGATACTTATAGAATGGGAAATAGCCTTATTTATTATCTTTTGATGGGTTTTTGTTATTTAGGAGGACTTACTATTTATACCAAAAAATTCCCGGAAAAATATAAACCTGGAACATTTGACATATGTGGAAGTAGTCATTAATTATGGCATATTTCAATTCTTTTGGCTATTGTATTAACTTATATAGGTGCTCTAATTAATTTTTATACAAGAAAAATGAGTATATGTTTAATTGATTAAAAAATATAGATTATTATATATGAAAGAAAATAATTTTCTATAAAAAATAAAAATATTTAAATTAGAAAATGCATATTTTTTATATTCTTAAAAAGAAAACAAATATAATTTAAATTAAAAAAATATAAAATATCTTAATATATATATATTATTTAAATAGTAAAAAAACAAAGTAAAAAGATTATATAAATATAATCAATCTTCTTAAAAATATTATCTATAATTCCATTAATTATTATTATTATTATTATTATTATTATTATTATTATTATTATTATTATTATTATTATTATTCTAATTATTAATTTCAAAATTTTAAAAATATTAATTTATTTCATCTAATTCTCCATAATCTTATGGTTAAGCTCCTAATTCTATGCCAAAACATTATTAATTTTACCATATATTTAAAATTTCTTCATCTACATTATATATATATGATTCCTCGTTCTAATTTTCGAAATGATTTGGTTCTGCAAATTACTATTAATATGATTAATTTTAATTCCATTATGATTATTCTAAAAATCCTTAATCTTCTATCTCTTAGTACTAATCAAATTATTCTATTTCTTATTCAAATTATTATTATTATATACTTTAAATATTTAATATATTATTTTATATTTAAGATTAATTTTAATTATTTTCCCTTCTTTATCTGTCTCTAACAAAATTTCTTAAAACTCCAATTTTTTCATTTTTTTAGGCATCAAAATTAAAATGATAATCTGTAGCTTTCCTTATATATTTATAATAATCATCTAATGTTTTTCTTGATAAACCTACCATTTCTGCTGCTTTGTCTAAGTTCATTTTTTATATATTTCCTTATTAATCTTTTATACCATGTTCATACAAATGTCTCCATTACATAACTTTTTAATATACATATCCTATTTCTCTTTCTTTTACTCTTTTTTCTCTTGGGATTGGATTAATATTTAAAAATGATTATTATTATTATTATTATTATTATTATTATTATTATTATTATTATTATTATATTAATTTTAATTATTTTATATTTATTCTTATAATTCTTAATTTTAAATATTTAATGTTCTACTTTAATTATTATTATTTATGTTTTTATTATTATTTTATTAATTATATTTTATTAATATTTCTTCTCCTATTTTAGCTAATGGTACGTATTTATTTTATAATAATGTTTCATAAAATGTACCCATATATATAAATTATGATGTTTATATGTCATATATATATATATGACTTTATTAAGGAATAATTTAAAGCTTATTTAACTCTTAAGATAGGTCTTTTACAAATATTTATTCATATTCATTAATTTTTATTTATATTTATAAATGTTTTTTGTCAGAGGAGTTTTCTTATATCAAAATAATTTCTTTTTAAATTGTTTAGTAAGGTTTTTATGTATAATTCATATAATTTTTATATTTAGATTATTCTTTACTCATTATTTTTTTTTCTTTTTTTTCTATATTTTATTTATTAATATTTTTTTTGATTAATTGATTTTTTTTTAAAAAAAATATAGATGAATTTATTTTATATTTTTAATTTATTTTATTTTTTCATAAACAAAAAAATAGTGTTTCTGTTTATTTCTATTTTATATAATATTTGTAAAAAAAATAAAAAAAAAATTATTTTTAAAATATTCATCAAATATTTATATAAATGTGTTTTAAAAATAAATATAAAGAAGGAAAAAAAATCAAAATTTAAAAAAAATCAAAATAATTATATATTATTTCAACTTTTTTAACACGTTTTAAAAAAAATAATTATTAAAAATAATAATTACCGTATTAACTTTAATTTTAGTAAAATAATAATTAAATAATATATGTTTAAATAAAATATTATAATAAAAAAAATGCCTCGTTATTATTAATTTTTTTATTAAAAAAAAATATATATATAATTAATTATATTCATAAATAGACATAAAATATATTAATATTATATATAAATAAAAATATAAATAAATATATAAATATAATTTAAAATTTATATATTTATTAATATTTTTTATATTTATTCTTTTTTTTTCTATTTTTTTTATTTATTTAAATTTCATATATTAGATTTTCTTTCATTAATTTTATTTTACGATTATTTTATCAAATAATAATTAAAAATATATTTTTTATACTTTTTTTATTTTAAATCTTTTTTTTTCTGGAAAATATAGTTTAATTTATTTAATATATATATTTTTATATAATGTAAAAAAAATATAATAAATTTTTTATTATATATTTTTAAATATATAAATTATCTTTATAATTTTTATAATAAAGTTTAATATATTTTTTAAATTTTTTATAGAATATTTTATTTAATGTTATAATAATTTTTTTTATATTAATAAATAAACAAAACTGGAAATACAATAAATAATATAAAACAATTTCTTGAAAAAAATTACTTAACAAAAATTAATATAAATATCATTAAATTTAATCTGTATAAGAATTTTTAAAAATCCATTTAAAGAGAAAATGAGTATGTTCAAACATAAATATTTTTAAATGTATCAAACAATAATGATATAAATACTAAAGTTTATTATCATAAAGAGCTTAAATAATATATTTTGTGAATTATTTTGCTCTTTATCTTGTTGTTCCACCTAATGTAGCATTATGAATAGCAATTATATTATTTGCTCTTATCATAAAAATCATTTCTGGGGGTAAATCTGATACTAAATGGCTAATTTTTTCAAAAGAAATTAAATTTTAAGTGTATAGATCCCTTGTTTCTTATTTAGTCATTCTTTATCCGAGTTTTTATTTGCTCTCCATTGTCCTAAACAAGAAAATAATCGGTAAATACATATAATGTTTCCCTATCCCTAAATTATTAGCAACTTATTTCATACTTTTATAATCAAAAGTAACCAAAGAATACCATAAAAGGGAAAAATCTTTTTATATTTATTTACTAGATTCGATGTAAAATCCATGATCTAAAAGTACAATCTAAAAATCAAGAGGATTATCAGGATTCTTTCTAACGAAAATATTTCCTGGATGTGGATCAGCATGAATATGCTAATATTAATAATATAATATATATTAATAATATATTTTTATAATATTATATATATTTATAAAATTTAAATAGTATACATATTAATATATACAATTATTCGATCTAAATGCTTTATTAAATTAAGAAATATTTTGAAACAATAAAATAAAAAATATATATATATATATATATTTATATATATATATTTATATATATATATTATAATTTAAGTTTTATAAAATAATATATAATAATTATTATTTTTATAATAAAATACTCCTGTTTTAAACAGCATTGTTCCCATTATCTCAATTAAAATATATGCACATTCTTAAGGATTTATATTTAATTTTTTTATTCCATCAACATCATTTATCTAATATAAATAATAAATTATAATATTTATATATATATAAAAAAAAATTATTAAATATATATAAATTAATTACTTTACACCCTTCAATAAATTCCATAGTTAGTACTCTTTCTGATATTGCTTTGTCAAAATATTTAGGTATATACAATTTTTAGAAATTTCCGAATTATTTTTTTGTTATTTCCCCGTTTTTTTTTTCATTATAAAAATTTAGTTCTTCTAATAATACTTTCTTAAAATTTACATATTAATCATGTAAATTTATATTTTAACCATTTCCTTTCAATAAATAATCACAAATTTACACTATATACCCTATTACAGCTAAATCATAATAAGTTTGAGATCTTAAAAATGGAAATTATATTTTAACAGCTACTTACTTATTATTTTCTTTTAATCTTGCTCTATGAACTTATGCTAAAGACGCTGCTGCTATAGCTTAAGGCTCGAATTCTGAAAATATATCATCGATTTTTCCTAAATCCTATTCTATAACTATTTTAATATCTTCAAAAGGAATACTAGGTCCACTATCTTATAGTATTTTTAAAACATCAGTATATTCTCTAGATATATATATATATATAAATATATATATATATATATATTATATATGAAAATAATTTTTTTTTTACAAATTTATATTACTTAGGCATTATTCTATCTAAATTACCTAAATATTAACCTGCTTTTAAATATATTCCTCTATTAATTTGACTTAATTTCAAAATTTTATTGGCTACACTAGTATGTATCTTTTTATAAATAAAAAATATTACTTTTTTTATATAAAAATACTTCTTCTCTTCTTTATATATATTCTGGTGTATTATATATTAAATCATTAAATCCAGTTTAATATTCATATATACTCTATCCAACTAATATATATTTTTTTAATATATATATAAATATAAATATTGATTGTTATTTGTTATTTATTTATTTTTTATATTTAATTTTAAACATAAATAAAATATATATTTATATATATATATATATATTATAATAAAACCTATATATGCTGCTCTAAACGTATTTATAAATCCATTAAAAATTCCTTAGATATCTTTTTTATTTTAAGGAGATATAAAATTTTATGATAAAATAGTCCCACTATATATATAATTATTTATTTATTTAATTTTTTTGTTTTAGATATAAAACCCTGCAACTATAAATAATGATTTTTTCGCCTATTTTTTCATATCTTTTTTTTATTTTTTTATTTATAAAATAAATTAATTTTATATTATTTTTAGTTTAAATACAATATATTTTTATAAAAAAATATTATATAATTTTATAAAAAAATACTATTATAAAAATTAATTTTAATTTTTTTTGTTAAATATAAAAATAAACATTAATAATAAAAACATATAAAAATAAAAAAAAAAATTTTTTTTTTATATTTTTTTTCAAAAAAACATTTTTTTAAAAGAACCAAATAATCCTTAAGAAGAACTTTAAAATTACTATTATTATAATTAATCTTATTTAATTTTATTCTATGCAATATTATTAAATTTTTTTTCAATTTCATTTTTATTCATAGTATCTTCATCTTCTATATTCTTCATTTTTTCTTCGAAAATTCTTATACTTTTAGATATTTCAGTCATTTTTTATTATTTTATATCATCAGTTTATAAAATAAACTGGTTATTTTTCTAAAAATTATTCATATTTCCTCCTCCTCCCCTTAAAGCAGGCATTATATGTCCTTTTAAAGATATAGACTATTAATGTGGAAGTTCATTTTGATTACAATTGGTCTTATTAGACCTTGGAGTTACACAAAATTCATTAATTTATTTCACAGATATGTATTCATTTTCTGTTTTTTTAATCGTTTTCGAAATCTATTAAATCTATTCAATTTTTTATTTCAAAAGAATATCTTTTTCATCCAATTCTTTTCGAGTTACGAAAAGTTCATTAAATAAAATTTGCCTATTTGTAATTAATTCTTTTATTTTTTACTAAGCTTCGGCTAATTTTTATATAGGTTAATTTGTTTAAATTATTCTATATATAAATAAAAAATTTATATATATATATATATATATATAGTGGAATAAATATATACTTTCTTAAATTTTCAAAATCTACTTTTAAATTAGAAAAATCATTATTTTTTTGTAAAATCATATTTTCTTTTGATTCAATTTAATTTTTTAATTATTTTAATTTTTCAGACTTAATAAATATATAAATATATAATTATAATTATATATATAAATATAAATATAAATATATATATATATTTATATTTATATATATATATATATATTTAATTATAATTTATTATATTATTTTTATATATATTTTTTATTTTTACTAAATCTAAAATTTAATTATCATATTTTAATTATAATTCTTTAATTTTAAATGTGTATTTTTATTCATTTTATTTTTAGGTTTTTTTATATTTTTAAATACTTTATTCTAAAAATACTTAATTATTTTAAAAGCTTTATTACATTTCTTTATTATTTTATATTAGACATCTAATTTATCTTTTCAATTCAATAATATATTATTATATTTCTGTTTTTTAATTGTCTTGATTATCATTATCTTTAAAAACTTATGTTACATTCAATATATCTTAAATATCTTTTTAATTTTCTTCTACATCATCTTTTTCTATAATTAAAGATAACCTTTTCGCCTAAATAAAATTATATTAATTTTACTAAATTAAATTATCTTCAATAATATCTTCTGTTTCTGAAGATGAAATATTTTCATAAAAAAAATCATTTTTTTTTTATTATTTTAATTCTTATTATATTTATATTTCAATATTTTATTATTGATTTTCATCAAATTTAAATGAGAATTCATCATCTTGACTATTTATTAAATTTCTTATAAATTCTTATGTTTTTTACATCGATTATTATATTTATTTTTATATATTTTAATCAAAATCTAAATATATATATATAAAAATGAGAAAATAAAATTATATATTTAATACTTTATGAGTCAAAACAACCTATTAAAATGTAATTTAAATCTGATTATAATTTTTATAGATTTTTTTTGATTTCTATATTTTTATTTTCTTTTTAAAAATTAAAATTCGCATAATTCTAAAAAGTATTTTCATATTATTTAATCTACTCATCATATTTTTTTTAAATATATTAAATCTATTCTTAAAGTCCTTTATTTTTGCTATTTAATTGTAATATTTTTTCATCTTTATTTGCAAATTCCATTTCATAATCTTTAATTTCCCCTTCTAATTTATCAATTTTTTCCTTTAATTTAATAATCTCAATATGTTATTCTAATAATTTCCTTGAAGATCCCACATTTGATTTATAATTATTATTCTAAATTTTTAAATCAGCAACTATATAAAAAAAAATATATATATGTATATACACTATGATAGATATATATATAAATATATATATATATATATATATATAAATAATAACATTATTTATTATTATTATTTCCTTCAATAAAATCTTATTATCCTAATTAAATTTATAAAGTTTAAATAATCTCATCTTTATATTTAACTTATAATTCCATTTTCTACAATAATAAAATAAGTTCTTTCGCACTTTTTTCTTCATTAACTTTCGCTTAATTTTTAATACTCTTCGCCCTATACCCAAACCTTAGTGTACCTAAAGTTTCCTTATCATTATACGAGCACATAGAACAAGCAATAATTAAAGTAGTTTTAGAATTTCCTCCTAAAGATTCTTAAAGAATTCTCGTAAGTTTAGAATCTCTATAAGGAACATGAACCTTATTATAATATATATATATATATTATATATATATATATATTTATATATAATTTACATCTTTTTTTCTGAAGTTAATGCATTAATTACAATACCTAAACTAGTTAAGCTCTTATTAATATTTTTTGCCTCTTCCAATTATTAACCCGAAACATTAGTTTTCGATATTTTTTCGCTCCCAGCTAAATCTACAAAATACAATTTACTTGACTTTGTAGTATCACTTTCTGTATTTTTTTAAATTAAAGTCATTAAAAAAATAGAATGGGATCTTGAAGAGTTCTCATTCATACGAGTTGCGGCTACAGAACGATTTTCAGCTCCTTATTTCATTACTTTCATTAAATCATGTGTTTTTAAAACAAAAGCTTCAGTTGCATCTTATACATATATTCCTTTTATTTTATCTTCTTTTATGGCTAAGTTAGATTTCGTTGGGTCGAGTAGGTCGTGGATTTTCTCATTATATATTTCTAAAAATGTTGCCTTTATTGTAAATTCAATTTATTGTGAAGCTTCAGCGATCATTTCAAAGATTCTTTCCATCATTCTAGGAATTAAACCTAAATTTAAAAATATTTAAATAAAAAATTTTAATATATATATATATAAATTTATATGTGCATTTTTTACCTTTTAATTCAGGATCATCATATTTTCCCTTTTTTTTTTTTTTTTTTTTTTTTTTTTTTTTTTTTTAAAGCTTTTTTTCTTATTTTATTATATTATATATATTTTTTTTTACGTATTTAAAATACTTACTTCCATTGTATGCGTTTTTCCTGAAGAAGTTTGACCATAGGCAAATATAGTTCCATTATAACCATTCATAACACCTTTTTTTAATATAAATATATAGAATAATTATTATTAATAACTTATTATTAAATACTTTCTAATATAGGGACTGCAACTTCATTAAATACTTAAATTTATTGCGTATTTTAAGCAAATACTCTATCAAAACAAAATTCATGAGGTTTATCTTCACCAACAACCTTTTTATTTATTTATTTTTATAAAAATTATATATTTGTATATATAATTATATTATTTACAGAAACTTAAATATTTTACTCATTAATAATATTCACACAACATTCACCACCTTATTCTATTTCTAATTTGTTTAAAGGTCTACATCTACAGACAACCCTTATATTTGTTGATTCTTATTAGTTTTTTTTATTCATTTTATTATATAATATTTTGATTTCTTAATTTATTTGACATAATATATATAAATTAAAAAATATAAATAATAACTTTTTATATATAATAAATATTAAATTAATGATAAAAAAACGAGATTTTATTTATATTTATATGTATTTAAAATTTATAATTATTTCTATATTGAATTTATTTTTTAAATTAAAATAAAATGCAAAATAAAAATGATTAATATTATAGATAAAATAATTATAATATAAAAATATAAATGATGAATTATTTTGAATTATTTAATTTATTCACTAATTAATCTATAATAATTTAAATTATATTAATAAAAAAAAAATTATTTATTTATGAACATAAATTTATTAAATTTATTATAATATTTATCATATATAATATAACTTAATTTCTGTTTAAAAATGCATATAAATGAAAATGAAAATTTAAATTTCCTTATCTAATAAATTTATAGCAATCATATAAATAACTAATTACTTAGTATTTTATTATTAATATTCTCAAGCATACAAGAACTATCATTTGCAAATACATTTTCTTATTTTTTTACAAAATAAATGATATTATAACTCAAAAATTATAATATAATACTTAAATTCAATGAATTATTAAAAATAAAAGGATTTTTTGAGATTTTTTTAGAATAAAACTTATCAGATAATATTTATTTTTATATTTCTCTTATCATAAATCTATTAATAATTATTTTTATATGTATAATAACACTGATATATAAATTATTTAAGAAAAAAAATATAAGAAATGCTTGCACTTATTTTCTATAAAAAATAAAATTGATATTAATAATATATAAATATATATTAGTTAATACTTTTATAAATATTTAAATAATAATTTTTAAAAAAAATGAAAGATTAAATTTACTTATGATTTTAGCTATTTTAAACATTGTATTAACCATAATAATTAGTATAATAAATATATATAAAAAAACTATAATAATTATAATTATATTAAATATAGAAATATATATATATATATAAATTATTACATATAAACATATATATAAATTTATATATTATCTTTTTTATATTTTATATAAAAAATAGTAATGTGTATAATATTAATAGATTATGATTATTCTTTTTAATTTAATAAATATTTATAAATTAGATAATCTTATTGGCAAATATATTAACATTCTTTACTAATTATTTTAATAATATCTAATAATTATTTAAATTAATAAATTTAGTCTTTTCTTTTTCTTTTTTTTCTTTTTTTAAACTCTACATATGTATTAAAAGGCCTGTTTTTTGTCACTATAAAATATATAAAATGCAATTAATATTTTCATTTATATAGGCACATATTTTAATTGGTAATACTGCATTCCATTAAATAGAATAGAAAACAGATTTTTTAATTTTTCTAATAATACTAACAATTCTAGGATTAACAATGGGAATTAGAATAAATAAAAAATTAAAAAAAAGCATTTACAATATATACAACCTTGAAAAAGTATCTTTTGTTAATTTTGATATTTTTATTAGATAAATATTTTCAAAATTTAAATTTTCATTAAATTATTATTTTAAAAAAGAAGGAATATTTTTCGAAAACCTAAGAATAAGCCATAATTAAAATTGTGAAAAAATAACTTGTTTTTGTTAATAATTTAAAAATGAAAAAGATAAAATCTAAATTTTGCTAAAATAAGAAGAATAAGAAATTTATTTAAAAACCTACATTATAAATGTATATGAAAAAAAAATTCATTAAAATTCTTTAAAAATTAGTTTTATTTTTTCCTTTATTTCATTTTTACTTGATATACAAAAAAATTCCATAAAAGCAATTATTTTAATTTATTAGTAACTTTTTTTAAAAAATAAACTCAATATATTACAAAGAAATTTTCTTTTTTTATTATTAAATAAGGCCAAGTTAATTTTTTATAAATAAAATTAATAAAATATAAATATATAAATGCAAGATGTATTAATATTTGAGGAAAAACTTAATTATTTAATTGAAAAAACCACTGATTTTTTAAATGGATTATATATATATTATAATATATTAGCTTAAAATTAAATAAACCTAATACATCTTAATAAATAATCGGATATACGATATAAATAATATATAAATATATAAGAATAAATCTCCTTTCTTAAATTAATAAATTCTTAAAGCAAAAAATTATAAGAAATCGAAGATATTATATTAAAAATTTTAAGTCTTAAAATAAAACCATAAATAAATTTCGGGAAAAAAAAAAAAATAGATTTTTTTACAAATAACTAATGCGTTATTTACATTTCTTTAATAGATAAAGATTTTAAAATAAGTAAAGTTTCTTAAAACTTCTAAAAAATATTTCTTTTAGATAAAAACTATATAATAAATAAGCCTTTAAATTTTATTATACCTAAATGTTTCCATGATTAACATAATAAGAAAATTTTAAATATTTATAATTCAGGAACTTTATAATATTTTGGAAAAGGTATTAAATATATATAAATACTTTTTTATTTTTTATAATATATATAGAATAACGATAAGTATTTGGAATAAACGGAGAAGGTTATGTAACAAGTTTATATATAACTTTAAATATAGAATTATTTAAAAATGATTTCGGAATATATGCAAATATAATGAAAAAAGAATAATTAAACTAATATATTTTTATAGGATAAAATTATTAAATAACTGACATAACAAAAAACATATATGAAAACATATTTAAATAAATCACATCTTTAAGTAAAAAATTAAAATAAAAAAAAAATTAAATTAAAAATAAAATAATAATAAGATTCTTTATAAAAAATAAATATTTAAAATGCAATCCCGATTTTATAAGTAATCATTTTCTTATAAAAATACAATTAACAATTTTAAAGTTTACTTTTAATATATAATACATTTAAAAAATGTTCTTTAAATAACTTTTCATTATTAAATATGTAATCATATAATAGTCTAATATAAACTGAAAAACAATACATAAAAAATGTATATTTAATAAATTTTAAATTATAAGTAATGAAAAATGATAAAAACAACTAAATATATTATATAGAAATCGAAAAATACCAAAAAATAGACAACTTGAGTTTAATTAATTAATAACTTTTACACTTATAATAACTAATTTAAAATATACTTTAAATAAACGTAATTTTTAATCTAGAAGCTAAATATAATAGGCGATAGAAATATAGAAATTTATCTTAGTAAATTTCAAAAAATTCAATTATACAAAAAAACATAAATATAGATTCATAAATGTCAATATAATAAAATTCCAAATAAGATATTTGTTTAGTTTCATAAAATGAAGTTATTGAAACTGAATAAGATTTAGAATAAAAATTTATAATAGAATAAAAAGAAAAATAAAAAATAGTAAATATAATAATAATAATAATAATAATAATAATAATAATAATAATAAAAAGAATGAAGATAAAAATATTATATTTTACTTAAATAAATATAAAATTTAAACTGAAAGTTTAATAAGTAACCATTTTTTTTAATAATAATTATAAAAATAAAATTTATCTGTAAAAAATAAATTAATTTTATACAAATAGTCATATAATAATAAAAAATTTGAAATAAATTAAAAATTTAATTTAATTAAAACACTTAATTTAAATTAAAATTCACAGGCGATTAGAATAATAAACAATATCTTTTTATGCGCCTTTATAATTTCCATATTCGTAACAATTTTCATGTACTAGAATAACTAATTATAACTCCGAAATTTATACCTACGCTATTCAAAAATAAACATTCTTTTTCGAAATTTCCTTTAAGATAATATTTTTGTATAAATATATAATATTAAATTGGTTCTAAAATACAATTATTTTAAAATTTAAGATGATAAATATCTTAATTATTGGAAGAAATTAATAGAAAATGAATATGATATTAATTATAAATAATTGAAGGATTTTTTTATCAGTTTATATACAGAAAATTATAAATATACTAATATAGACTTCCAAAAAGAAAATAAAATTGAAATTTCTTTATTTAATATTATAAACGATGAAATTATTTAAGTAAAATAATCCAGTACATTAAACTAAATTTTATCATATCATTATTATTATTTATAATTTACTCATATAAGCGATGCCCCGAAAATAACTTCTTCTTTATTTTTATGGGAAAACTATATGAATACTAAAAATTACATTGAAAAAATTTATTATTATTAAATAAAATAGACTATAGATACAAGTTAGAATGTTTTCTATTATTTAATTTTAAATGTTTCCGTTATTGTAATTTCCTGTATTATTCTAATTTTTATCATTATATGTATTAACATAATCAAATTAAATAAATAAATAAAAATTCTTAAGCTTTTAGGTACTTTTAATCCTAAAATAATGTATAAGTAAATGGAAATAATACACTAAAATTTACGGAAAATTAAAACCTTTTCAAAAGACTAATAAATTAATATTGTAGCCGATATTGTTTAAATTTAAAAATAAAACAAAAAATCAAATTTGACAATTTCAACTTTTATAAACTTTCCAAAAGTTGAAAAAAAAATAATAATTTTTTAATTTGCTATACTATTGTTATTAATAAACCCGGTCGCAATAATTAAAATAAACTCGAATTATGATAAAGAAATGTAAATTCTTTTAAAAGAAAAGACTATTATTTCGGAATTAATAGGGAATATATCAGTTATTTAATCGAATAATTTAAGAATTTGGTTAACTTATTAACGATAAGCTTAAATAGTTTTAAGACGTGAATTAATGAAAAACGTAAAAATATTAATTGAGAAAACTTAAGATTTTTTGAATCAAAATATAATTTATTTATTAAAAAGTGTATAAATGGAAAGAAAATATGATGAAATTAACGAAAATTATTTCAAGGGAATTCTTTTTGGAAACGCATGTATTTCTAGAAAAAAATATGTTAAATTTTAATAATAAGATTTATATTATGATTGTGAATAATTATTAGATGGAATTTTTAAATAGGGATTATTAATATTTATTTAATAATATATGAAATTTGTTAAAGATTTATATTAAATATATTTAACAGATTTTGATAAAATTTATGATTATTTGTTAGAATAATAATAACATGATAGGAAACCTTTCGAAATTTAAAAATCTTAAATGTTCTTTTATAAAATATTTTTTGAATTAGAAAATTATTTTGAATAAGTTATTAATGATTATTATGATTTTACTTAAAATTTATATCCTATTCTTTTAATTCTACAGATTTTATTAATTTTTTTTTTATTTTTTTTTATTAATAAATTCATGATTAAAAACTATTAAAGTTAGTTAAATTATAGTAATTAGTATTTCTAATTGTTCAATATTAATTTAATTATGTAAAATAAATATCTATAAATATATTTACGTAATAATAATAAACAAAGTTTAAATTGATAATAAATTTGATGAAAAATGCATTATTTTATTGATATAAAAATATTATTATTAATATAAAAAATTTACAAATAATTTTTTTAATATTATATGTGAATAAATAATATATTATTAATATAAATAAACAAAATATATATATATATATATATATATATATATTTTCTATAAAATCAATTAAAATTAAAAAAAAAATATATTTATATATATATTTTAATTATTAAATAATTTTTATATAAATAAAATAAATATATTTATAATTTATTATAAAAAGATTATATATGTTTAAAAAACTAATATATATAAAATATTTTTTAATATTTATATTTTTAAAAATTTTATTTAAAAAACTATTTTTTTTTGTAAATCATATATTATGTATATTTGTATTTAATCTAATAAAATTAAAGTGCTTTTATTTTTTTATTAGAAAAAAATAAATAATTTTTTAAGCTTATAAAGAAAATAATTTAAAATCTTTATTCATATTTGTATTTTAATTAATTTAAAGTTTTTTATTAAAAATAAAATAAAATAATCAATATTCAAAATATTTTTAATATTCAAATGAATATTAAAAAATATATATGTATAAAAAAAATAGATAATTATTAAATGCTTTTAAAATGTATTTTAAAATTTTCTTATAAAAGAAATACAATATAAAATAAAAAATATTATTAATTTTTAATGTAATCAGAATAATAAAGCTAAGGCAGCTAAGATTAAACCGCAGAATAATTTTGCAGAAAAACTAGAGTTATTTTCTAATTAGGCGTTTTTAGTTGAAGATTAGGCAACTTCGATTTAGAAATTTTATTTAGTAACTTTACCAGTTGTGCTTTCAGCAGACAAAGCTCTAAGTCTTGAATCGGGTTAAAGTGTTATTTTTAAGGTAACTTCAACTTTGCAATTTACTTAAGGTTACCACAATAATACTTTAACATCAACTAATCCTTTTTATTAATTGATTTACCACCATTAGGTGTTTTTGTTATAACTGTAGACACCTCTGTCATCAGTGAATTTAACAGTTTAGACTTATAAGTAGTTTGTATAGGTGTTATCTAAGAATTAGATTCTTACATATAAATAATCACCAACAATATATTTAGGAACTGATCCTTCAGGTAAGAATCCGGTACAAGCTTCTGATGTACAGATATCACCTCTAGTATCTAAATTGGCAACTACAATACATTATTAACCTTTGTCACATCCATCAGTTATTTATTTAGAAACATCTAAGTGGAAGACTTCAACTTAATCTCTATTGGTGAAGATTCTCAATTAGAATTTATGTAATCTAATGGGAACATAGGCATTAGATAATTAAACAGCTAAGCAGATAACTTAGAAGATACTTCTTTCACCAACTTAAGGTTAATTGGATGATAAACTGTAAATATCCATTAATGAAGCTTCGAAAACAGTGGTGGTAGTACCTTATTCATGCTTGAAGTATTTAGAATCAAGAGGAACATAAGATTTATCATCACCACATGAGGGAGACCATAAGAGAGTAGTATTTAATTCATTTTAGCATTCAGGATCTAATTAAAGAGAAAGTCTTTACCAATTGTAAGAAAGGACATCAACTACAGTGTTTTAATTGTTTTCATTAGTGCTAATATAACAATTAGATACAATAACCATATTGAAAATCTAGTTGAATAATTGCCATTCACAATTACGAACAGGTACAGGGTTTACAACTTTTTCACAAGTCCATTATCCTTCTTTTGTTCTTCCTTATACATATCTAGGTGTGTCACATACGCAATAACTGTTTTCAATAATATGTGCAGTTGGATGTCTACAACTTGTACAAATATTGCATTCAGCACATTTAGTATCAGTTTATTCACAGAAACAACTTTCATGACATTTAGTAGCTTTTTCATATACTGATGTATCTATAACAACATCAGCTAATACAAATGTAGTTAATCCTAATAATACCAATAATAATAATGTTTTATTCATTAATAATATTTTTTTATTTATATTTTTTTTATTTTATTAATATATTATATATTTTTTTTTTAATTTTCTTTATATTAATTTTTTGCGTTATTTTATATATTTTAAATGTTCTATTATAAATATTTTTTATTTATTCGTTATTTTATCAATAATAATATTTTTATTAATTTCTTTTTTTTCTATTAGCGTTATATTAAAATTTAAAAAATTTATTTATTAATTTTTTTTGTCTATTTTTATTTTAATTAATTTTAAAAATAAAATATAAATATTATATTATTTTCTAACAATAAATTTTTCAATAATAATAATATATTAATAATACTTTTTTCAAACAAAAGTATTATGATTTGATTTTTTAACATCTTAATAGTTTATATAATATTAAATTATAGAAAATAAAAATTATTTTAAATTTATTTAAAAATAAATAAAATAATAAAAATATTTATAAATATAAATATATTCTAATTTCAAAAATATAAATGTTTACAAATTAAAATTAAATTATATTTATATATTTTATAAAATCTATTTATAATATATATTTATTATTATATTTAATAGTTTAATTTATTATTGAATTAAATAATTTTTAGATATTAATTTTTTAATTATATTTTTTTTGTTATTAAAATATTATTAAAATATTATTATTTATCTTTTAATTAAAAATATGCTTATAAAATATTTAGCAGATAAAAAATTAAATCATATATAGAATAATTAATATATTCTAAAAAAAACTGATGATAATTTCTTTATAAATATTTATATAATTAATATATTTTTGAAATATAAATTTAAAAATTGAAATTTTATTTAAAAATATTAATATATATAATATTCATATGTTATAAATATTTTATCTAGAACTATTTATAAAAATAAATATATATTAAAATGTATAAAATTTTATTTTGATATTTTGATTTTAATAATATATTTATTGATTATGCAATATTTTTTTTATTAATGAGAATTTAAAAAAATATATATGTATATATATAAATATATATATATATATATATATCTATTTTATTTTATTTTTTACATATACATAAACAATTTTAATAACATATTTAATATTAAATATAATATTTATCTATTTAATAAATTTCTAATTCGTTTTTATTATTATTTATTTTGAATATTAAATTAAATTATTATTTTTCTTTACAGATAATTTCTGTCTTTTTACATTTTTCTAACAATAATTTAATTTTATATTATAACATTAATGATTCTTTTATATAATACTTATATTATTATTAAAAAATAAATAATAAATTAAATTTTCTTCTAAAAATAAATAGAATATCAATTAAAACATTTAATTATTTATTAACTTTTTTTTTAAAATACATATGTATATATATATATAATATTTATTCTTTTATATTAATCAATAATTAAAGATATGAATAACATTATTATTATTAATAACCTTATTTTATGCTAAATAATTGATTTAATATATGCTTATTTTTATAATTATAAAATTTATTATAAATAAAGTAAAATAAAATAATTAATAATAAAATGCTTTTAAAATGTATTTTAAAATTTTCTTATAAAAGAAATACAATATAAAATAAAAAATATTATTAATTTTTAATGTAATCAGAATAATAAAGCTAAGGCAGCTAAGATTAAACCGCAGAATAATTTTGCAGAAAAACTAGAGTTATTTTCTAATTAGGCGTTTTTAGTTGAAGATTAGGCAACTTCGATTTAGAAATTTTATTTAGTAACTTTACCAGTTGTGCTTTCAGCAGACAAAGCTCTAAGTCTTGAATCGGGTTAAAGTGTTATTTTTAAGGTAACTTCAACTTTGCAATTTACTTAAGGTTACCACAATAATACTTTAACATCAACTAATCCTTTTTATTAATTGATTTACCACCATTAGGTGTTTTTGTTATAACTGTAGACACCTCTGTCATCAGTGAATTTAACAGTTTAGACTTATAAGTAGTTTGTATAGGTGTTATCTAAGAATTAGATTCTTACATATAAATAATCACCAACAATATATTTAGGAACTGATCCTTCAG